CCGATTTGACAGTGTCCTGTTAATTGCAGGAACGAGCCTTCTCCTTCACCCAATTCACTTGTAGCGTAGGGTGCTTTTCTTGCACTACCTTAGATCATCCAACGTTCTGTTGGCTATTCGGACGTGCCTAAATTTGCGAAGCCATTCGAGATCACTCGGTTTATAACCTAATTTGTGCAATTATGTTCTTCGAGCTTAAAATCATATTTACAAATAACATATTTTCACGGTCTTTTGTTGTTCTGTAAAGATCCGACGAGGGGTTTTGGAACATCGAACGTGAGTTGCATTACCTCTCAAAATAGCAATTGACAATGGTAACTGACCAACAGCACGGAAACCGATTTTTAGTGTCCTTGGTGCCGACTTTTTGTCTTAGTGACCAGCCGTGCCCCGCACAGCAGCCTTGAGAGTTTGAAGATGGGCAATCGCAAGGGCTGCTAGACGAGGATTGAAGAAAAACGCAACAGGACCCTGCAGATCATTTGGGAGCATTCTAAACAGCGTTTGCACTAAGCGTGCGCACCATTAAATTGGAAAAATTCAGCAACTTGGAAGCTGGATCTCCCCAAATTTGTTGAGCGAACACAACCTAGGTCGGCATATGAACACACGACTTTCAATGCTTGCCCGCCAACAGCAAAAAGGACTTCTTGTGAAAAAATATGAAGGTTGATGAGAAGCATACTTTTTCACGAGAATTCCAAACGCAAAACGTAGAATCGTGGATGGAGTCCTGGCAACCCAGTACACCGACGCCGAAACAGGACATCCACCTGAAAAAGTTTCTCCCGTGTATCTGGTGGGACCTGAAGAGTGCAATTTGTCATGAACTCCTGGAAACTGGTCATCAGACGGTGCCTGCGCAGTGCTACAGCGCACCATTAAACAAACTGAGCGAAAAATTTGATCATAAAAGGCCAAGTACTGGACAAGGAGGCAAGCACGTCATACTGCTGCTTGAAAATCCTCTTGAACTTGCTAAAAAATCTGTCAAAATTAATTCATACATCTAATAAATAGTGAAAGCCTGGTAAATCGGAAAACCCTTTTGTAAAACTGGGGGAGAATCAGTTAAAAATCGCTTCGACTAAAGGCTAGCTAAACGTTAACGTCGTATATTTTGACAGACAGTCTAATAGTGCATGCTGATATGCCTTTCTAATTCTTGACAATATTGTTTTAAACATTTAAAATTGAGAAGAACCTTCACTTGTTATATTAACTGCTATGGATTCACGATTATCATTTGTAGCGTGATAGCAAAGTTCCAATTTAACACTTCCCAAGATCTGTTGAACCCTAAACACGCGGTATAAATTGTCAGACCCCATTTTATCCCCACAGTGGTGAATTCGGTTAACGATAGCAAATAATAAGCGTCACCAAACCACCAAACAAATTGTTCCAAGCAAGAAACAAAGTTTCGGTAATTTCCTAGCTAGACAGTCAACCACGAGGTGCCTTGTCTACCCTAAAAGTCACTTAAATATTCTGATAAAAATAACAATCCAGGCTCTACGAGGCTTCAGTGTTAGCACCCACCTCCGCGGCACATGCAATCAAATTACACTGACGAATAAATGACTTTGTTGTAGTGTGCTTTATCTTAGCAAAAAAAGACTTTTCAGAGATAAAGTTGTGTTGTTAAGTTTAGGGCTTGAGCATCCAATGATGTTACAGTCTGAGATACCAAAAATAGCGGATACTTTTTCCAGTGACGCCTCTGTGAAAACTACTAATTTCAATGGGGGGTTAGGTTGTAATTTATTTTGCGATACTAAATTCCTTCAAAAACAAGGACCTTAACTAAAAAAATGCAACCGAGGAATGTAATAATTGCTTGTGTATAAAGCTTCTTTTGAGGCACAGGTACTACCTTAAATCACCACAACATTGTACGTTTCTTACGATTCCAATTTAACGCTAGGTTGCTAAGTGAAATGCAAATGCATAACCCCTCATTATTTATAGGCGACTTTGATGAAGCCCAAGAGAAAATATTTTTCACAATTTCGTTATTTCTAAATGGCAATAATAATAATAGGATCGCATCATAGTCACAACACATTTTTTTCGCGATGTACTTCGTAATCCAGCAAGTTTTCTCCGTTTATCAAAAGTATTTGAGTATTTAGCAATCGTATTCGAATTATACTTGCCCAGGCACTTATTCACAAGAGCAAATCCTAACATGAATATCTAGGCGTGTGGTCAATCGTTAAGTTCCATTTTACCAGTCAGTGTTATCGCCCAATAGACGGAGTCCTCATTGTGCTGTTGAACACAGTAATTTTACTGTACCTATCAAATCAAATGGTTAACATTTGACCAGCGCAACGGGTTCTTAAACTTCGTGAATAAGCTTTGAGCTAAATGTCACCTAAAACTCTACAAATATAAAAAACCCCTAAATGATTGGTTTGAGTTTCTAAATTCATTTTCAATAAAATATAAAAGATCAATTCGTTATTTGGATTAGCTACACCTGACACAGGATCGGTAGTTTTATTCACCATGGTATCATTAAAATATAAACATTTCTAAACTTCAACAGCTTCGAGCTAGACCCGAAAGCAAACAGATCATCCACTTCCAAAACGTGGTCCGGCTTGTACATCATGCCAAACTTTGGACACCCCCAGCTCAAACTATGTAGTAATCGAACAGGTCATTCCTGTGGAGAGAAGCGAAAGCCTTTCTACTAGACCACGAGTTGCTCTTCTTCACACCAGTGACTGCACGTAGGTGAGCTGGTGAAAGTGGTGGCTATAATCGTACAGTCCAGCGAACGCATTTCCGTTGTCATCTGGACCCCGTGCGCGTAAAGTTTACAGCCTGCTTCTGGAGTACTCGTCTCTATTGAGACTCATGGGAAAATCAAGGCTGAGGATGTCCCGGAAAGCCCCCACAACACTGAAACTGCCGCACGCCCACCAAGGTGTCCTATTCTAGTTCTCTCTTCATCTAAGTTTGGTTGGCTGATTGTTGACCGTGTATAATCACAGTATTGTTTTAGCCCAATGTGGAAGGAAGACTTGATTTCAAAGGTAATTGGGATACGGCATACTCTCAGATATACTTAAGCTCTTCTTTGGCAATGTCCTCACCGCAAATCCTACTAAGCGGGTGATTTTCGGCTCTCTTCGCCCATGAAAATGTGCCAATAAGTCCTATCTCCAGCTTCCTTCAAGGCATTAGACGAACGGATAAATCTCAGCAAAGTGATTGGACATCACTGGCCGTAACACCTGTTTAAATGCAGTTATTGATTTTGCATGGCCCATGGCGTGGCTTCTCCACGTGGCAGTTGTATGTACCCCCACAAAGTTCCAGCCTGCTGCTTGCAGTAGTGAGCATGTCTGTCAGGTAGAAGGAACTGCAATCAAGTCGAAAGTTATCATTCTTACCGCGTGCTGTTCGAGTGTTGACCCATGAACGAATTAGCAAAATTTTGACTGCATGCATCGGACCGGAGCTAGTTTAAAGATGGGCCAATAGCCTATTTCAAGTGTGGAAAAATTTTCCATGGCCTTACAATTGACTGCGCTATTCCCGTTCACGACGCTAACTCCACCTCAATTTTAATTAAAACGAACTACCGGAAATATCTCTACAAAGTTGGGGGATCCTGGCAGTCACTGAATTTCAGATGAGGGTGGACTACTTTGGTCCGTGGAGAAGACCAGTCAGCGTCTGGGACGAACCATCTAAAAAGCACAGCTGTGAATTTTGTCCACCTAACTATGGCTTGAGAATCAAGTCAGCGAGTTTGACATTCCAAGAAATCGGAAAAACCAATTCATGCGTATGAAGAGGGCTGAGCGTGCACGTTGACTAGAAACTAATGCCATCGGCAGTAACGCATCTAAAGCAAGGATGTTCTATGGAAGGAAGACGGCCGGTAAAACCTTAAACGACGCACAGAAGAAACAAATTTGTTTGTGGTGAATCCAGGGACTGGCGACCGAGTAATCTACGTCCACCTCTCTCGATTCACAGTTCCTTGTGGTTTTAGCCACCTGGTGGTTGTGGTGTCTCCAGAACACCTGACACGCCTTCGAACGTTACTAGGCATTCACGGTGGGAGGACCAAACCCACGTGTTTGCTGACTACATCCGAGGTCAAACAATCAAGACACTCCAACTAGCACCCAGAAGGCCAACTTCCGCAACTACAACTGCTGACGACTTCACAATAAAAAATCCACACGGTGAAACTTTCTGAAATACCAAAGTACGCATTCGCAACGCCCCACGTGAACCATGGTGGCGGCTCAATATCCAGAGGTGGACCCCATTCTCCTCTTTCGACCGTTAAATTTAGCGTAGTCACGTAAAAGCAAAAATCACAGACTTCGTCGGTCACAAACTTTTGGTTGAGTAAGACAAAGCAAGCTCAGATTCAAATAAGCGGCAGAAAGGACCACGTCAACACAGGCGTTCCCTATGTGTACGTTCGGTGGGTTCGCTCAAAAATCCAAGAAAGGAAAAGGGCGCAATACCGGGATACTGGGCGAGGACAATAAGTATGTGGCAATCATACTACGCAAAAAAATACAAAGCGCGAAACACAAGTGGCTTGAATATACATTGGTTTGCTCATTGATGACAGGGGTACCTGGGAGGGGATACATCAAGAATAAGACTATAAGCTGTGGCGAGGAATGAGATTTCATGATCTGTTCACAAATCATTTCCATTTTATTAACACGATCAGAAGGGGTGGAAAATTAGTTTGAAGAAACATGCGCCCTAACTGTACAAAAGGGAGAGACCATCAACATCATTGACAATGGGGAGGAAGAAAAAATGTATTGCACATACACTGAAAAGTGGTCGTGCACACGCCAAACACGGACGTGGAAAAGCGCGTACACACACACACAAGTTCTTGGTGTCGTCAGAAAAGAGAGTATGCCAGAAAAAAACGAGCCCACATACTTGTGGATGAGAAATGTCAGCTTCAGCATCGTCAGCGTAGATAAAACGGAAGTGTCCTACTTTTTTGGATTAATCGGAATAGCGACATGGGTTGGAGGTCCGCTGGTCATAGGGCTCTCTTGTTTGATGTGCCGTACGGGGATGGATGCGGTGGAGGCGGAGGACTGTTTCCCTCTGTCGTGGCCAATAAGCGTTGACGCGGAGGGCAGCACGAGCCCTGGATTAGGTGGATCAGCAGGCAAGCCTACAGCAGACTCAGGCCGAAATAAAGTTGTGCCAGAACCACTTGAAGAAGTCGGAAACAAGGCGGATGGAAGAGAGAGGGAATCGAGCGAAAGAGGTAGCCCAGTTACGGATGAGATCAGACAGGTGGCAGCAGCGTTTGCAGCTGCTGAATTTGTATCGTCAGTGACACTGCCACAGGCGCCAGGATCCAAAGGAGTGTTAATAAGAATAGCACTTTGTCCACCTGGAAGAAGCTGTACTGAATGAGTCAGAAGTTGGGGGACGGTAGCAGTAGTTTCCGTAGGTGCTGAAGTTGTCACCAGTAGGCCCCCAGAAACTGGAACTTGAGTAGGGAGGTCGGCACCGCCCAAGGCAAGGCTGTTGGCCACGGCGGCGTCCGGAGTTAGGCTGGGTGGAGCTGGAGAATCGGAAAATTCCACGCCAGCCGCGGTGCCCGAGGATATCAGAGGGTTATCTGACAAATTATCCGAAGGTAGGACCTGAGAGGTCAACATCGGATCGTTGGCGGCGCCAGAAGACGTGGGAGCTGAGTGCAAATTTGGCGGCTGGGTGGCGCTCTGAGAAGATGGCGCAGGGGAAGAGGCGTCGAGACTGTGAGACGGAGACGGCGAATCATTCTGTCGAACCTCGTTATCGTCTTGCCATTTATCAACCGATCGCCTGCGAGCGTTCATGAAGAAATTTGCCACCGTCGAGACCTCAAGTTCAAGCTGTTGAGCAATAGTCACTTGCATCTCCTTGCTTGGTCGTTTTGTTTCCTTGAATATAGCATGAAGAGTTCGCCGTTGGATATCCGTGAATACAAGACGGGGTCGCTTGGTTGACTTTTCCTCACCAGGCTTTACCTCGGCTGACTTTCGCTTTGGAGGGTATATTTCTGTCTCAGCAGCTAAAAGCGCATTATTAGCATAAAAGCCGTTCACTTACACGCTGCCTTGAGCTCAGCCATACGTTGGGATTGGGGCTCGTTCAACCACTTCCACATACGCTTGAAGGTCTCGCGGCCCGACTTGAGCTTACTCCAAGGTTTCGGATTCCTCAACAGATCAGAGAGGGTACCCTGGCTTCTGTGAAGTATTTTCTGGGCGAACACTGCCTGAGGAATGCTATACCGCTTAAGTTCACTGCTTATTTTTAATGCCAGTTCCTAGGAAACAGTGATAAGGGTAAGAAGTGGCAAATTACCCGAGTGTTTATTTCTGTACAATCCAACCCGGGGCTTAAGGTATCACGATCTGCGTCGCTCATGTTATCGCCATGATTACTAGCCGGGCTAGGGTCATCTGTAAAATTACAACACGTGGATTAGAGCAGAATGACATGAAAAATGATTCTGACGCATAAATTAGGGAGGAAAAACTTGCCTGGACTGATAGGTCTAGCAATCTTCAGCTCCGTTGTGGCATAATCCATCAAAGAAACAGGAGGAGCATCAGCTGGCAGGTTCAAGGTGATCGGAACAGTAGACGCCTGGAAGAAATCAGATGTGCTCGTTTGAAACACACTAGAACTCGGCGCTGTCTTATCAAGCAGCTTTGTTTTATCACCATTGCTAGCAAGGAGAGGGACAAGGTCTTGTAGGGCGTAGTTTTGAGTTGCATCCACCATCGATGGAGCACTGGTTGGAACTTTCTGTGCGTATAGTTTGTCAGAAACCGAGGTGATCGGAGGCAGAGATGTTATAGTGGCATAGTTCACCTTGTCGGAAAGCCCAGGAGGATCGGGTTCTAAGGAAGGTGGCTGCGCCTGGGGAATGTTGGCAACTGGTATGGTTGACAATCCGGCTATGTTTAGGTCATTTCCACCAAGAAGGTTTTCGGGAATCGTGATGGTAAGACCATCTGCGGACTGATCCAACCCGCTTAGAGGACCTGAGGGTGTAGTCAAAAGTATCGTTTGCTGGTCGCCACAATTGATAAAGGTTAATTTCACCATTTGTACTCCAGGTATTGACTGGTTATTAGTGGTTAATGGTTGCAAGTCCACGGATCGGCCATCGATAGGATTTAAGATGGGGATATTTTCCAGGTCGCTGACTTGCAAATTCAGCTTTTCACTTGCATTGAGAGCATTAATGGGGAGAGAAGACATTGTAACAGGTCCACAGGCCGACGTCTGGAGTCCTGCCAACTGAGCCTCAAGTCCAGGTTCCATTTTTAAACCATCTGCCGTAATTTTGACGTTCATTGGAGGAGGAATTGTTGTGGGGACTGTACGAGAATCGGTGACAAAGATGGACTCCAATGAATTTTCCTTGTGCGATGTAACTGGTATGGTAGAACGCCCATGAGTAAGCAAGTCATTGTGATTATTGAGTAGATGACGATTATCCATATTAGAAATAACAAAATACTGACTTATCACTTCAGCCAACCGATCAATAAATCATCAATAACGCTAGCCGTCCATAGAAGTCACACAGTGAACCATCTCATCGATTAAACCGGTCAATAACGGTGAGTGGCCTCCACAATGGCCGTTTACCAATCGTTATAAACAAAAAATATAAACATACAATTTGAACACAAATACCAGGCATATTTCATAAATTTTACTCATGAATAACGTGTAAAATAATATTTTACATAAAATATATTATTTTTGTTGAAAATTAATCCTATGCCGCAATTTTTTCAAGTTGACATGCATACTACTATTAGTAGGCGTTATTTTCCACTACTTCTGTGACGCCTCCCTATTGGCTCGCGCACTAAACGTCGAATGGCCTATGGATGGACGCACTCTCGAGGGGGAGGTCGGGCCTATAACCGATATTGGCGTCTGGTGCTTCATGCAATGTTTGCCTTTCAATTTAGTACCAGGTTAACAAGTACCGGGCACAGCACTACTATGTGTTGTCAATAAGTACTGAAGTAGGAGATGCGGCAAGTTACCCGGCAGCAACGCTCAGCCTACGCCTGTTAGGGATATGCTCTTCACCATCTGTTTCATTAACAAGGCTGCGTGACATTATGATTGAAAGACCATGTGGATTTTAAACAAAAACTAGACGCAATATCATGTCAAGCTACTTTTTTAGGTTCCCGCGCTCCACCTCAGGAACTTCGTAGTCGAATCGCGCGGTTCTCTCCAGCACTTTGCAAATGGCACCTTGGGGTGAACAATTTTCCTATTTTTTGTGATTGCGGGGTTATTACTCAGTACTTTCATGCCGACCATCGACTCCGGTTCTTTTTGGCTTAACAAGAATCAAAATTTTAATTGTTGGCCTTATCTGCAGCCATTTACTTGCATAAATAAATCGCTTATTTGGGCGCGGTCAAAAAAAATGCATTCCGAGGTCGAATTCCACGGGTTCCGGAGATTAACACACAAACACATATATTGAACTTTCGATTTTATAGTTAGGAATCGAAGCAAACTGGACTGAAATAGTGGCCCTGGTAGCGTCCAGGTTGTTTTCAAGTTAACCGGTAGAATGCTACAAACAGCGATTCATGAAACAGGAATTATTTAGAACACCCGTGGCACTCAAATTAAGCTGATATTTGTCTAATAGGGATAAAAGCATAACTCTAGTGTGCAATTTGGCACTTATAGTCAGCATGGGAAATTTCAGGAGAAAAAGTCGTCTAATTAGATTAACGTGACACTGTCCCCATACAAGAATTTTAGGCGAAATTGGCGAATCAGATGCGATTAAGTTACTAGAATCGCACAGAAGTTGAGCAGCGCGCACTTGCAGTCAAAGCCAAAGTAGTTCACAGACGAACAGATGGTGAAGATGCCACGTTGTCTTATGCTCCCCAAATCATAAAATCTTCCAAATAAATCATCCACCCCATGCCTAGTTGTAAAATATTACAGTGAGCTAAATAGAGATCAATCTCTAAGCAAAGTGTGTAATTTTACATGATTCAATCAAAGAAATTGGGTGATGCAATGCGTCAGATCTCATTAAGTGTGAGTCATCATGTCATTAATGCAGCCAAGGCAGCAGGAACAGCTGCCCACGATCCAGTTCAGCGAAATATTATAAAGCTGGCATTGATTTTTAAACTCTGAGTCCCCTTTTGACTTCCGTTACGTCGGATCCTGTTGGATTAACTTCCAGAATAGGTTTTGCATGCACGCAAACCTAATGCGGAGGAAATGGTTATTGCGTGAATTCAGGCACAACGGCGCTTCTATTGTCAGTCGGAATCAACCTTAAAATGAACGAAAAAATTATTTTTAGTAGCAATTAACATTGAACATCTTCTCGATGTCCAGATAAACCCGAGAAATAGCTATGAAAAAGCACTTGAGATTTCTTTGCTGGGTGCCCAGATTCATGTTTTTGATGAAAAAAAACCTTGTCTTAATAGGCCAGTAGTAATGGGTTATACTTTTCAACCAAAATTTGCACGATCGGTAACAGATACCCTCAAAATATAGCCAAAGCCGAAGTGGCGCTTAACTAATATGTGGCAGATCTGATGTGATTGTAGAACCATGTTCATTCGTGCTTCGTATGATTGTTCGCGCGCAGATCCTCACAAATACGGCTTCACGAATATTTGACATACTACTTAAACATACTAACTGAACTGGATGAAGGCACATTCATCGACTTAGATTTATGAACTCAACAATCGTCGCATGGTTTGTACCAAACTGAAGCACGATTGAAGTTTAACATTTCAACGAGCTAAACCCGTGGTACCCTTCGGCGGAATGCTGCGGTGTTATGTTGTAGAATACAACTTCCTGCCTTTAGACACATCTGATTTCGATTTAAGGACGTGTTCATTTCACGTTTAATTGATTTGCGATCCTTTCCTGAACCAGCCACCAAGGCATACTCAATTACTCTTTAGTCCACGCTGCCCAAAATGGCCTTTCCGCTAAATAGAACCTGCGCCAAGGTCAAATAGGTATATAACCAGAGTTGTGGTATCGCAAAACGTTATGGTTTGGGGTTGTATCAAGGTCTGTGAGTTCAAACCTGCGGGCAGCCTCCACCGCCCCAAGTCATCGCATTATTCTGTGACTTATCGAACCGTAACTGTTCGATGTGTGACTCGAGCCCACCATCAGAGCAGATGGCGTAGCTCTACCTCAACAAATCTCGATGATGCAGGTTGGAGAGGTATAGCCGTTTGTTTTTCCACATCAAAGGAGGTGAGATCCATCTAGGGAAAACACAGCATTGTGAGGACTAGGCATCCTCCTCATCCTTTTTAATTCAACGCGAGGGACCACAAAACCCAGGTAGCAGTGGACAGGACTGGTGGTGGGCGACATGTTTGCTAACATGGAAATATTTTGATGTGCGGGAGAGGGGGATTCACAAGTGCCTGCGAACGGGAACCAACTCAAGTGGCGTAGAGCCGTAGCCAGGAAGCCGAGCTCGAGTGTGTCTTATCCGTTGGCAGTGGCGAACCTGTCAGGCAATCTGGCTACATCCAATTCGCTACAAGTGCCGAACAGTCGCATCGGAAGGGCGTGGCACCCACCCAGTGCAACTTCGCTTGCACCCTGGACGGCGAAATTCGGTCAACTGAAAAGCTTAGCACACCAGAGAATGTTGTCTCCGAGACCCACGCAAAAATTAATTAACGGATCGGAATCGTTTTTTGCCCTGACTTAATCAATTAGAGGCAAAGAAAGGAGAACGGGTTCTGGTCTACGCTGTTTTGATCGATAAATTGCAGGATAATGGCAACGAGAAGCTAATGGTCTTCCTACTTCTCCAAAGATCCCCAAATATAAAGAAGTAAACCACAAATCCACTAGTCGCATCAACCCCAAGAAGCGCGAGCCCAGTTCTACACTACCTGCATCTCAGAAAAAGAACTTAGCCTAAAACTCCGGTTGTAACATGAACTGATTAAACGACATCAAGTGAAACGCCTCCGTCAAAAGGAGCTGTATTAGTAGAACCACAACTAGCTGCAGCCTTGGAGTCACACGCGAGAAACTTTCACGCCGACGCCGTAGGTAAACAGCGCATTCACCACTAGGCGGCAGCCAAAGATGTTGCGCCAGTGAGAAGAAAAAGCGCGAACCTTTTGTTTGGTAAAAAATGATGAAATGACAAGTCATGCGTGAAAAAAAGGCAGCATTAAGAAAGTTTGGAAGACAGAGCTATGGCGATGGCTTTTGGCGTTCCGCTTCGAATTGCTTTTCCAGTTCAGCGTTTCTGGCTGACTGAATTCTCAGTAAGTCATCCTAACAAGGAAGAAAAAAACAAAACGGCAGTTAGAACGGGGGTTGGGGGAAGAGTTGAGACACCCCTATGTTTAATTCATCTGGTCAAACAGGGGCCACCTTTCATTACTCTGGCCTACAACAATAGCCCAATTGAGGCTTACTAGACAGTCTGGTTCTACGACACACGAACTTCACGGGCTTTAATGATGCAAGATATAAATTGCACACGTAGGCATAGCACTATAGCGTACCTTCCACCCGACTAGTTCGGCTAACCGAAGGCAGGTAGCGTCGGCGTCGCCTTTGGCGAAGACATCCGTCTTGTTGCCAGACCTGCCCCATTGCAAAGGCTTCGATTGGAATCCAGCGACCATCCATTTCATGATGAAAGAAACAAAACCCTTTGCGGTCAAGTTTGGAGGGAAATTAAGAAAGCGAAAGCGAGATTACCTCGTTGCTTTAGTACACCTGGAGAGCAATGTGTCAACAAAAGTAATTGAAAAGAAAACAAGTCTTAAAGACGACGGTAGCATGTGGAATGTGGTGGCCTCGGAGGGTGAATTGCTAACGTCGGGACCACACAGAGTGAAACATCACTCAGTTGTAGGTCACGTAGGAATGGAAAAAAACGCCCTCCAGGGTGTAAGCGGACTTGCTTACGCGTTTCAGATTGCGGACTACATTAACGCACAGTACTAATTTGCCTTTTCGGCAGAAATGTGAAGGCACGACGCAACTCACCGAGGTTGATCCGTCTGTGTACTCGCGGTTGATGTAGAGACGAGGGACTCCGCGTTTGGTGCAGTTAACAATGCCACAAAAGGGGAGCACCTGCAGTGAGGTACCCATTATAATCAGGAGGTCGCATTTTGGGAAATCCTGTCAAGGAAAAACGAAAAAAAGTCAGCAACAAAGTTTACTCGATGTGTACCTCGCTATGCAGCTTACCATTTAGTCTGAATGTCAGTGGATTTTGTCGTGTAAGTGCGTAAAAAGGTCGTGTACTACGTGAGGTTGCGCTGTAAATCTTAGTTCCACCTTTTACCCCTTGCCCAGGCGAACGCCGAGCTAGCAATGCAGCAAAAATGAGCACCAAGGACACGCGCAACAGCTGGATCTACGCCGCCAATTGTGGAGTTAAACTTACAACAGTATCAGGGCAGAAAGCGTTTTGGCTGTAAGGCGAAAATCAGGCGACAAGAATAACGAGTAGGCGGCTAGTTTTGGTGAAAGAAATTAGAATTGCTCAAGAGGCACTTAATTACGAGGTTAGTCGTTCCCGAGCAAAGACAATTAGATTAATTACTACCATTGACCGTTTCGCTACCTTGTGCTGTTGTTGTTTAGCAAGGCGAATCTCCTTAAGATGCGCGAAACACGAAATGTTGACTAATGCGACTAATTGTGCGCAAAAGACGTGTAGATTGGATGAGTTTGACAAGTCCCTTCACGTACAATAACGCTACTTTCTACAACTGACCCAACTTCTCGAGGGTTGACGTTGTAGAGGCGAACTGACCGTTTCGACTCCTCCGACACTTTCCCAGTGCGCCATTAAGTTTAATTGCTATGCCGCATTTCGAGATTTGTGACCAATCCAAGTGTATGTCTACATGTCAAACGGCCTCCTGATTCTTCGCCAAATGGATGCAGTCTAGCCGACCCATAAGACTCCAGCAGCGCCACTCTAAGCCCGTTAGGACTCTCGAAGTCTACTTCCGCAGATGGACTGGCGGGGTGAAATTGAGTGTAACAACAGGATGCCGTGTGAAAAGGGAAAAATTAGAGGGTGCTAGGGTCTCCCAAACAAGCGCAATTCAGGAGTGAAGAAGCGGTCCCCCCACCCTATGTCCGCAGTAGACAATTTCCGATTTCTGTCGCACACAATTATCGAAAAGTTAAATGGCCTGGTGGTAATTTCGCTTGCCTTCTTTACTCCACGAGTGAAGTTCGATGGAAGTCCCTCACCGAAGAAGACAACATCTAGACGCAGATGTAAATCGAACGAATCATAAGTGATATACCAGGTTTCACTACACCGTCACAATTTCTTTCCGTGCACCTCGGCACATTTTTGGCAAGAATTTGGCCTACAACGAAAGACTTAAAACGTCTACGTAATCACAAACCTTTGAAGAATTCAAATGGGTATTCCTTTCGACACTTGAGACAATGCCCTGTGTGGAAGGAGCCATGAGCCTCAATCATTTTGTCCTCCGGTAGACCGGAAATGCGCTCGAGTTGATCCACATTCTAAAACGGGCACAGTGAAAATTAAGGCTCACAAGACACCACCTTTAAAGCAGCAACTTAGAGCGCCCAACGAAAGCATAGCACAGGACGGACTTATTCCAGAGGTGGGCTTACGATCTGGCACGAAACTGCAGCAGTTTGGTTTTGACTTCCATCACAGCTGCGTGAAAGAGAATCGTTTCATGAATGTGAAAGGCTCCTCATTTATTGCTTGTAGTGAATTTTTGAGAAGTTTCGGTATTTATAATGGCTTTGAGACTACCACGATACAACGAAACTGGGAGGAAACAGGACATCAAGACCTCGATCAATTAAGCTAGAAATCGCTTCAAATCTGGTCAGTTCCACTCCGCACATAGGGCGAACCATCTCCATCACTAAGTTCCTGTGAAATAGTACGGGGCCTGCGGAAAACGTTTACCATTCAGCGAGATTTACACTAATGTGCCAAGAGAGTATAATACCAGCGTTTTGTTCAAATAGTTTGTGAGGCATGAACCAATGACTACGTCAACATGGAGGGAAATGCAAAAACCAATGGCTGTTACGCCAACTCTACACCACCACCTTGTTGCCATAGAAACTCTAGTATTGACCGTGAAATGTAACAGATAATATCATTTGCGGCGCAATTTTCCCTTCTTGTATTTGAGTGACCTTAATGTAGAATAGAACACGGCCAAATTGAGACACGGGTAACCCATTGCATAGACTCATTTAAAAGAGCCTGCGTCAAACAGAATAAGAAAGCGGTTTGTTCACTTACTTGCGTATAATGACGCAAAAGTACACCCTTTTCATGCAGAAGTCTGATGAAGTAATGCGCAGTAGTTGGCTAAAGGTGTCTAGACAAAAAACAGGACATCAAACCTTTGCGTAGGGACGGTAGAGACGCCGAGCGACTTCAAAGAACGGTTTTGGATTGCTCTGAAAATTTGCCCGAATTGGGTTTATTGATTTAATTTACATGGAAATAGCTCAGTTCAAAAACTGCCATTGGGTCGGGTAAATCGTACTCCTCAAGATTGTCATAGATTCCTGTCGATGGGCTACGAAAATCCGGAATTCCGGCGGCTGGAAGAGATAAAGTGAATTTACCAATCAATAGGTATCGGAGACATTTTTGCACCAATGCAATATTCGATGTGAGGGAAGCGTTGTTCTCTTGTTCAACGATGAAACGTGAGCCATTACAGGACAAAGGCCACGTAATTTGGTGAAAATGCGACACCTAAGTTATCGACACCACCTTTTCCAAAGGGACGATTGTGCTTTTTGTCAAGTTCTTAACGTCGGTGTTTGATGGCACATAGTATGGTAAATAATGGGTTGAAAACAGAAGCAACTGTTGCGACATTATCGGATTTTATCAAGCACAATTCAAGTGCCGGAAAAAGGAACAAGCACCCCGATACACGCTTAAGAGATTCGATCAACAAAAGGCACAAAGGAATGCAACGAGCTCCAACTACTGAGCTAACTAACTAATTTTACTAGAAGAAGGTGTAGTGAATAGGCAAAAATGTGATGAATCAGTGTAGGCGTTATCTAAGCAAGATTGTTTTTGAATCGCAAGTAGAAACTGATTAAAACGTGCTCAAAATTATGTCATTTTGACTCCACTAGTTGATTTCTAGATAATTTGGTGGACAAGAGATTCCTCCTTCTTAAAGGTTATTTATAAATTAAATTCAAAAATGTCGAATAAATGGATGATTTGGACATTTACTATTATTTTAAATGTTTGTCATAGAAGAAACATATGTTGAACAAACAGAGAGACAATCGACGCCTCAAACATAGTAAATAAACCATTGCTCTAAGGAAGACACAGTATCACCTAAGCTGTTAGAACAGAATTTTATCTATACTTGGTTTTATATAGGTAGGAAACAGTGGGACAGGTTTTGTACTCTATGGTTCAACAACAAAATGTATGTTTACATTGGTAAAATAGGCGTCTGAACACACGCTGAATCTTGAATAACCGTCAGACGCAAGTTAGCTGCCGAGCTACTATTTCTATGACGAGAGGAATGTTTCGAAGATGCATGCTACCCACGGCCAGCAACACCCTACCATAAACGTGTGGGCTGCTCCGGAAATAAGGGATTTACGCAGCTATTTGTGTTGATTGTGGTCATAATGTTGAAGACTCACTGAACCTAGGGCGTATTGCGAACTAATACACGTAATTAGTGAACTAGCTGGAACTTTCATAACACTTTGGATTTATTACAGAACACGAAGTGTCAGATGGTTGCTTCGGACGAAGACGTGATTCAATTAACACAATGTCACGGGATAGTACATGAAAAAGCGCTCCTAACATTCCATTACTTTCGAAGTTGCATGGTGTTGCGTCCGATCATAGCTATCCTTTCAAATACTCAGACACTGGTCACCATCACATTACGAGAGAATTAAATGGTAATTTAGATTGTCTAAGAAAGAAAAGTAGAGGAATTACGAAAGTTGTAAATACTTTTACACAATAATTCAGAGACATTTGAAAAAATCAGCAGTTATGATATCATCATGACAGTTCGGGAAACCTACGTGACAAAATTTAACTTAAAATATTTGAGAGAATGCAAAGACCAGCACCAAAGTTTAAGTGGGACTAATGTATCAAAAATTAAAAACACACCAGTAGATATTCCGGCACCAACGGCTGTGATGATGTTCGTAACTTTACCATCTCTGATAAGCTCGGCGATGCCTATTTGAATTAGAACAAATTGAGGAGGAAAACCTTCCAGGTTTAAGGACTCCAATTCGTTATCATTTTTTGAGAGGTGCAATGCACGCTTGAGCGATTCCATATTGAAAGCCATTGTTGACTAGTGTCTAAATTGTACAAGATCATAATCAAAAAATGTACTAAGATAGAACAAAACTATTCCTCACCTTCTTTAAACATTCATGGAACAACAAATTTTAGGTCTAAATCGAAATTATGGGGCTTTTCTGGAGTTATACACAAAAGAAATACAGAAACAAGTTTGTATTAACAGCGTGCGTCCCTAGTAGGATGAAGAGTTTGAGACTTGCTACTGCCCATTAAACCTAACATCTTCCCAAAAAAATAGCTGAATGAGTCAATCAATAATTAGGGCAAGTAAATTAGGGAATGTTTCATGGTATCGCCACTGAGATTGGACGTAATAATTCGTAGTTACCACAATAATATAGAAAATATTAAAAATAACCACGAAATCGAATAGCGAAATTCCAGTTACGTAATTCGCTTAAATTCATATCTATGTTTTAGCGGTACTGTGATAATTTACTCATACGACTTCAGAGACTCCATGCGAGAAATGTCGCGGCAGGTTTGTCAACAGAAAAAAGCTACATCAACAGCTTTAGTTAAATGCATATACATGTTTCAAACAGATGAACACGTCTCAAGTCGCCCACATCCTCGGGATTCAGTAAGATATTTCAAGTTTGGTAGAGGTTAGATGGAGAGACGCGTATGTGGCAAAAGAGCAATCCTTACACAATAGATGTGCCGAAGTTAAGTCAAATCATATAGGATAATGTTATGCTGGTAGTCAAAAAGAATATGCCATTGAAAATAATAGTTTAGAACAAAATCGGAAAACAGACTTATCAATGGAGCTAAATAATGAAACGACAAAAACAGCCACAATTACACAAACTTATTTAAATAATGTACCAAAAGGCGATCAACTTTAACCATTCCACATCACTCCATCATGTGCTAGAACTATCAGCTCAAATGACATTTTCGACTAGAAACAGTGGTCATAATTTAATCTAATTGTAAATTGTGTGGGAGTAATTGTACCATTTGCAGCGCGGTGACATAATCATTTCTTCACAATTGATAATTGATTAAAGTTTAATTCTAAGGCCTATTTTGCCAAGAACTAAAGTTCGTCAACTTTATCTGATTTATTAAAAAGGTTTAAACTTTATTATTGGCTAGATAACCACAAGCTTCGTCGATGTCATAATATTCACCCTGGTGTATGCATTCTACATATTTTACTGTTTGGTAATTATTAAACACTAAATTCAGTCACAAGCTCAAAAAGTAAGATATTGGTATGGGTACAAATCTAAAAAGTTTAGAAAATGTTGGGTAGAATGTAGATGCAGCAGGAATTTTTGACGTACACGCAATGAACACTGAATGTTGTAAAATCCACTTATATAATTCCTAAAGACTTGGCAAATTCTTGATAAATTTGCCAGCTTATAACTTACGGCTGCAGATGTGTGATGAATGCATAAACACCTTAGCATAAATTTTACTGATATATGTGATGCCAAGGTATAAAATAACTGCTTGAATTAAAGGGAATTTTTGCAAAAGTTAATCGATGTGACTTAAAAGGTGACTACAGTCAATGCACATTTACGTTGCCCATAAAACCTTTCACTTACTTCGTATCTAGTTATGAAAGAATGAACCAGAATAGTAAACATGGAAGCTGAAGTTGCATCCAATGTGAAATGAAAAGTGTGGTCAGCGATTTTTATTTTTGATTAGTAAACAGTAGAGTCGTGCGCAAAAGGAATCGGTATATTGATAAAACAACAAATATATATTCGTGGCGATCTTCCGAGCCGGTTCTTCGTTTTGATCAATTTATTCAGGCCGTCGTGCGATTTCAGAATGTCGACTTGTATTACTTGTAAATTCTTCACGTATTTTAAACATTATGTGCTTATATATTGACCTATGCCTCGGTTTCCATCAAGCAATTAGAGGTATATGAACAGCGTCATTGATAAAAGGGTCTTTCATTGTCATACGAATGCCATCAAAAACGCATTTAATATGCAAAGATTATTCACCCATTCAATTACGTTTGAGCCATTCAGCGATCAATCGAAGATTTATTTTTTTAAAAAATTATCGTAGATCATTGACAAGCAATGGCTTGATTTAGCCTGGGACACATTTTTTAACCAGAAGCAAAATGCAAACTGGAATCTCGTGAATTGTTGCGAATGTAAAATTAGATGAAAATTTGATCTAGGAGCTGTGAGGGCAAACGCTCAGCTGTGTATAGCTTGGCACTTTTTAACCTATTCAAATGTGGCTTTATCTCACGATTTACATTTGCTTATTTCAACATTTTTCCTGGCATTTAAAATTTCAAAATAGGTGGGCTGTCATAAGTAAGATTGCTGAATGTGTTCGTTAAACCCAGTAGACGATATTAATGAACCATTAACTCCCAACAAATCAGATTCTAACCTCGTTTTTCGCAAATTCGTGGTAGTTACGCTCAAAAGGATGCACTTAAAAACTGGTAAATCTATCACAACCACTGAGAAGTTGTTAATAAAAATTTCCTTCTGGATTTTAAGGTCAAATAACAGAAAGTTATCAAAATTAATGAGTAATTAAGCATAAATTCACAGCGTTAAGAAGTGCACGTCTGATTTTTATAAATTAATGTTATGACGATAAATAGTAGATCTATAAAACAGGCTTCGCATGTGACGCTTTACAAGATTAACCACATTTACCTAAATATTTGCAGTATACGATTACTATTATATATTTGCTGTAATCATGGTAACTGTTTTAGTCCACTCCGCAGTAGATTTTAAAGTTTCTGAATCGTCTTTAATTGGTCGAAAACGCATGTATCCGAGAGCGAGCTATAAGGTCTCACTGTGTAACGCACGCCGTTAGACACACTCGCCAATCTTGTCTGTTCTTTGTCCGCCTCTTCCCTCGCGTACTCCCGCCTACCTCAGGGCTTGCCCGTGAATCTGAGGGCAATGCCAACCCTCCTCACAGCCATCCTTTTCTTTTGCTCTAACACACTTGAAGCTGTAGCCCTCTGAATTTGTATGCGGTAGTATGGATTATATCTGGTTGTTCCAATTTCATTCTATCGTGTGCCTTGTATATAATCATTATGCTGTGGCTAAGAGGTACATGCTTACAGTAATCTACGTATTTAGGTCCCAGCTTGCTATATGAATTATAATTGACACCTCCGTTTGTTTAGCTTATTCTTTTTTTAAAGATGTCATTTAGATGCATCTTCCGCGTAACAATAAAAAGTTCATATTTTTCATAAACATTATGGTGTAAAATTTACCCATTTAGCCCTGAGTTTTCCATTGCACAATTCTTACCAAGCGCAAATAAAAGTTTTTACCTAAATAAGTACTGCCCATGTTGAGCAATATCTTTCTCCTCTTAGTGTCTTTCTGGCTTGAAAAATAAGTTATCGTAATCGTGTCCTTGTAAAATTCGTTCATTTTAAATTACCCGACAAATTTAACTAAATAAATTTAAGGCCTGCTAATTTGATTTTTTGGACTTCCCCACAATCTGTTGTCAGTTGCCTTAGAGATTTATCTTGATTCAGCTCTTCTAATGCCAGGCATTTTCACTGTATGCAGTAATTTAGAACATCAACAGATTGCCATGACAATCGCAACAGGCATTCATGAGTATAGACTCTGTTTTCGATAGTAGAAAAAGGAAAGATTATGTTTCTATTGGCATTAGCTATACGCATTCTCAGACACCAATATAGAATAATTCTGTTGCAATAAAAGGAAGTCAGGTACACCAAAACATTACTTATCAACAAACTACAGGTTAAAACTACCTGGCAGCCGCGCCAATCTGAGTCCATTTTTTCACTCGTCCATATCACCAGTAACTTACTAATCTTCGACATACGAAACAGAAGATTGGCTACCCTCAGCGTGTCTGCGCCCCCACGCTACACTCGTGTAGAATACCCGAGCCCTAGTTTGAAGAAGATTGGTACAACAGAACAGGGCTTATTGACCAATCTCAAGCCAGAGCCACAAGTCAGGCGCCTTCCATCCGAGTCTACCACACTGGCCACGACGCTCGTTGTATGCGGTACCTCATTCGTGTCCTTCTCTGGTTGGCTGCTTTTCTTCCTCGCATGTTATTGGAACACAAAAAGACGCAGGATTGGCTGAGCCCAGGTGGTCCAACATGTCTGCGCCCTGATCCGACGCCACAACACCTTGTAGAATACCCGAGCCGTAATAGGTAAAAGACTGGTACAACTGAACAGGCTTTATTTACCAATCACGAGCCAGACATACACGTCAGGCTCCTACCACCCGAGTCCACCACGCTGGCCACGCCGCTCATTATATACTGCTCCTCAGTCGTGTCCTTCTCTGGTTGGCTGATTATTTTCCTCGCATGCCATTGGAACACAGAGAGACAAGGGATTGGCTGAGTCCAGGTGATCCAACATGTCTGCGCTCCGATCCGACGCCACACAGCCTCCCCCTCAGCGGTGAAGCTGTCCTCAGCTTCTGGCTTGTTTCACTGCACTGTTCATGAGTGGTAAAATATCCAGTTCGACACTTCCCGCACCCCACATCTGGCAGGATAGTGGCCCGTGAGAATAGTTGACGAGGGACTTTGCTCTTGTAGACTTGCAGGAAAGACTCATCATCCATTGAAGGTCCATTGACAGATGCAGTCCAGCTGGCTTTCACTGTCCAAGTCGTCGTCGCTGAGTTGCCAATGCCTCTTCAGATGCAGTAGTCCTAATCCCGGGCAATGTGTATGGATCCACTTTATTGGACATCGGATGAACGCCATGACAAATTCAGCTGGCATTTAAGGGTCTTTGCCTCTCGTGTCCATTGTAGGGAAAGGGCTGGGGTTCGATTTGCGCTATTCGAATGCATCCACTGCCACCAATGAAGAATACCCGAGTCCTAATAGGAAAAAGACAGGTACAACAGAACAGGCTTTATTGACCAATCAGAAGCCAGAGCCACGCGTCAGGCGACTTCC